AAGGAGGCAAAAGGTTACCCAATGTACCGCTTCCAGCAGCTCCCATTGGCTGGGAATGGCAGTCTGTGGCCAATGGGAGCAGCAATCACCGGTATCTGTGGAAGTGCTGGTAAGCAAAGCGTCTAGAGCAGGCATGTCAAACAGGTCTCTGGAGGGCCACGTGAGGACCACTTGACATATTTTGCGGGCCGACACTACATTGTTATAAAAGAATAAAGTGCTCCCACTGGCCGCTCAGAGCATGTGGTTGGTGGGGCTGTGAGTGCCTGGCTCTGGGGGAGGGAGGAGGCATTAGGTTGCGGGGGCTGGGAGTGCCTGCCTCTGGGGGAGGGAGGAGGCATTAGGTTGGGGGGGTTGGAGGGTGCTTGGCTCTGGGGGAGGGAGGAGGCATTGGGGAAGGGGAGGCTGGGGGGTGCCTGGCTCTGGGGGAGAGCAGGGGGATATTTTGTTAACATTTTGTTTTTTATTTATTAATTCCCAAATCAAATCACAAAATGTATATTCATTTTATATCAATAAATATGTCAATGGGAGGAGGCATTAGGTTGGGGGGGTTGGAGGGTGCTTGGCTCTGGGGGAGGGAGGAGGCATTGGGGAAGGGGAGGCTGGGGGGTGCCTGGCTCTGGGGGAGAGCAGGGGGATATTTTGTTAACATTTTGTTTTTTATTTATTAATTCCCAAATCAAATCACAAAATGTATATTCATTTTATATCAATAAATATGTCAATTTTTTCCAATTGCATGAATATTATATGTTTATGCAAAATCTCAGACTTACAAAGTATCTGACATTTTCACAGAAGCCTGTTCTATTTGATTAACCACGGTCTATACTTGTTTTTAGTTCAACAAAACAAGTTCTATGTCAGATACAAAAATAAAAAGTACCTTACATTTATATTTAAATTAAAAATTATTTTATAGGGGCAAATGACAGTTTTACACATCAAATTATTGTATTCTATTAAAACAGGACCTGAAATATTATAAACTATACCTAGAACATAATCTACAATAATAATTTTGACTTTCCGATAGAAGTACATTTTCTTTGGTGGCCCTGAAAGCTATCAGGTTTGTTTGTGCGGCCCTCAGTAGGCTTCCAGCGTGACATGCCTGGTCTAGAGTGTCTTTGGCTATGAGTCAGCGTCTTCTAAGGAGTCCGGGATTTTCCCCCTCCCCCTGCTCTCCTCCACTGGCTTTTCCTTTGGAGCATTACGACTCGCTGGTCTCTTATCCCTCTCTCCAAAATTGCCAGCGACTCCTGATTTAACCTCCCTTTTATAACAGCTTCTTGCCTCTGTCAGGTGATCCAAGTCTCCATGCTAGGTGATCCATTGCTTAGTTAGCAGCCTAGCAGGCTGGATTGGGTTCCCTAAGCTATGTCCACGCTACGGACCTTCCGGCAGCTCAGTGGTGCAACTACCGCTACGTGGCTGCAGGATCTCCCACGGAGCTGCCCTATACAGGAGAGAGCTCTCCTGCCCGCTTAATTAACCACCCCCAATGAGCAGTGGTAGCTGTGGTGACAGGAGAGGCGCTCCTGCTGACTTAACACTGTCCAGGCCAGCACTTTTATCAGGGAAACTTAGTTGCTGAGGGGAGTGGTGGACTTTTTTCTTCACATCCCTGGCCATCAAAAATTGTAGTGAGAAAAGTACTAGTGTGGATGTTGGCTGTCGTCTTTGCCCCAAGGGGGTTTCCTTGCAGAACATGGTCCAACGTGATCAAATGGCTGGTTTCCTTAAAGTAGAAGACAATCCATCAAGACAATCACAGTTTAACGACCCACCTTTGTTAACTCCAAACCACCACCCTTTTGAACTTCATCCCAAAATGAAGCTAAAAAGACGAGAGACAGCAAGCCAGTCCCACAGTCAAACTGGAGTTCGCAATTTGGCAAAAGAGCCTCCCCAGTATCAAACAGAATGAATATGTTGTACATAAAAGGATCCCCCACATTTTCAACCCCCCCCCCCATAATTCCCCATTAACAACTATATATTCTGTTTCCCACCATTAATCTTTGGCATGTGCCATTTTGCCTTCAGAGAGGAGACATTTGGACTTTCCACCAATGGACGCAAGTCCACGACTGCACTTTTCCTTGTTTGGGGATTGATAGCCTCTGGTTCCCCCGCAGGGTTACACGAGAGAGCGCCCTTGGGGCTGATGGATACCCCGCTGCTCGACACAGACGAGGAGGTGCACTACTGCTTTCTGCCGCTGGACTTGGTGGGACAGTACCCTGCCCTCGTTAACGACGATAATTTGCTGTGGCTCCTGGAGAAGGCCGCGCTGATAGAATGCGAATGCAGTGAGTTCCGTTTCATAGGTAAACTGCCTTCTTGGCTGTTCGGAGAGCGCCTGGCACGTTGTACTCTAGCCCGTCTCTACGGCGTCCGTTTCATTCTGGTGTCTCACGTAGGGGGATCACAGTTCCCAAAGGGAAAACGGGGCACCAAGTGGGGCTAGCCCGAGCCTCCCCCACCACCCATGCTGGGCTGGCCTTAGCTGCTTGCCCACGCCTGCCTCCCCACACGGCGTGGCATCGCTGCTCACCGGAGCCTGACTGGCTGCCTGCGTGAGGCTGGGGCTCGCTCTTTGCTTGACCCGCCCCTGCCTCCCCCCCTTTGCGTGGCTGGAGTTGGCATCATTGCTCAAGCAAGCCCAGTCTGCCCCCATAGAAAGCAGGGGCTTATGTTGCTGTTCACTCCAGCCCTGCCACCCTCCCCGCCCTGTGCAGGGCTGGTGGCTACGCTTGCCTCTACTTGCATGTCCCTCCCGCCAAGCTTTTGGGCATTTGTACCCATTTGAAGTGTGGCAGGAACTCTCAGCTCCTCCCTGGAATGTTTCGTGCCCATGTAGCTCCGATATCACCACCTTTTTGCCCTGGTGCTTTTGAAGGACCTGCTGACACCAGACTTCACCTGTAAACCCGCTGTTGCAATGCACTTCAGAAGGGACTTCGGCTTGCTGGGAAGCCCCCACTTGACTCATTTGGGATGGTGCCGCAAATAAACCCAAGCTGATTCTTGCAGGCTGTGCTACCTGTCATTTTGCAGTGATTTAAACTAAAGGACCTTTGGGTTTACAGTTTGATCTTTTTCAGAAAGGACTAGGATTATATTTGTGTTCAGGTGTTTAATTTCCAAGGCCAAGAATCTCCGGCTGCATCTTTTGCAGCCACTTTTGCGCAAAATCTTGCTGCCTGTCTACACTGGCCACGAGTATTTGTGCAAGAACACTGACCTTGTACTGTACAAAATCAGTGCTTCTTGCGCAAATACTCTGATGCTCCCGCTCAGGGATAAGCCCTCTTGCGCAAGTCTTCTTGCGCAAGAGGGCCAGTGTAGACAACAACGTTAATTTCTTGCACAAGAAAGACCGATGGCTAAAATGGCCATCGGAGCTTTCTTGCGCAAGAAAGCGTCTACACTGGCATGGATGCTTTTGCACAAAATATGTGCTTTTGCACAAAAGCATGCGTGCCAGTGTAGACGCTCTCTTGCGCAAGTACTTTTAACGGAAAAACTTTTTCGCTAAAAGTATTTGTGCAAAATCATGCCAGTCTAGATGCAGCCTCCTTGTTTACTTCTAGACCATAAAATAACAAATTAATATATTAGTTCGGGGGGGGGGGGCAACAGACTATTGTTTTTGCTGGGTTAAACACTGCCCAGGGAAACGACAAACATAACCCTGCTTTTTGGTTTTATTTTTTCAGTTAACTTTCTTCGCTCAGAGAAGATTTTGTTGCCTGATAATTTCTCCAACATGGATGCTTTGGAGGCAGAAGTGGTTACTTTGGGAATTCCAAAGCTGATCGATGCAGTGAAGATTTACAGGGGTAATTTGGACTGCATAACTGTTTTACCTTCTTTTCAGCGTTTCTCTCATTCCCTTCCCTTCTGAGCCAAGGGGTTTGAATATTGAGGTGAGTCATCAATACATAGATTCCAAGGCCAGAAGGGAGCACTGTGGTCATCTGTCCGACCTCCTGTATAATGCAGGCCCTAGAACGTATCCCAAACAATTCCTTTTCACCTCGAGCATCCTTTTTAAATCCCATCTGGATTGAAATGTTGCCTGGAATGGAGAATTCACCATGGCTTTGATAAGTTGTTCCAGTGGTTACTTACTCTGGCTCTTAACAATTTACGCCTTTCTCCCCGTCTGAATTTGTCTAGCTTCAGCTGCCAGCCATTCGATCATGTTGGACATTTTCTGCTAGAGTTCAGAGCCTGTTATGAAATCTTTGTTCTTCCTGGGGATACTTATCGACTGTCATCAAGTCACTCCTTTTCTAGTTGTTGAGCTAAATAGATGGCACCCCTGAGTTTCTGACCACAAGGCATGTTTTCCAACCCGATGATCATTCTCCTGGCTCGTCTCTGAGCCCTCTCCAAAGATATAAACATCCTTTTTGAGGTGTGGACCCCAGAACTGGAGGCAGGAGTTCAGAGGTGGCCGCACCAGAGCCAAACAGAAGTAACAGAATCTCTGTAGTTCTACTCAAGATCCCCTCTTCTCGCATCGAAGGACCTCATTAACTCTTTTAGCCTCAGTACCACATGGGGGACCTGGTCAGCTGATTAGCCATTCCTGCCACTGCCAAATCTTTTTCAATCTCTACTTCCCAAGACAGTCCCAAAATGGCCTGTGTTCTTTGTTCCTAGATGTATACGTTATATTTGCCATATTAAAATCCATATTGCTTGAGGCCAGTTTGCTCATCCAGATTGTGCTGTATCAGTGACCCATCCGCTTCATTATTTATCACTTCCCCAATGTTTGCCATCTGGAAATTGTATTCGCGCTGGTACTATGCTTTCTTACACATCATTAAAAAATGTTAACTAGCATAGGCCATGACCCAAACTGTACAGGACTCTACTAGAAACACTCCCCCCCCCCTCCACATTGATGATTCCCCATTGAAAATTACTTGTTGAGACCTATCGCTTAGCTAGCTTTTAATCCTTTTAACATGTGTCACGCTAATTTTGTAGTGTTCCAGTTTTCAGTTAAATTGTCATGCAGTGCCAAGTATTATGGAGGTTTAAGTATATTACATCAGCACTATTACCTTTATCAACCAAACTTGTAGTCTCATCAAAGGTTGTCTGATAAGATCTATTTTCCATAAGCCCATGTTGATTGCCGTTAAGTGTATTACCCTTTTTAAATTCTTCATGAATCAAGTCCTGTCTCAGATGCTCCACTATCTTGCCTGCCTGGGGTCAATGTGAGACTGAAAGCCTTAAAATTAATCTGATCATTGCGTTTTTCCCCTTTTAAATATTGGCACATTAACTTTCGTCTAGTCTTCTGGAACTCCCTTGGTATCCCAACGCATATTGAAACTCAACATTAATGGGCTCAAAAATCCTTGGGCTAAGGCAGTTTTGACATAACAGTGTCTGGAGACAAAAATCCGTATGGGATGGTCTTTTCAGATGCAGAATTAGAAGATAAATCATGTCTTCTTTCTTTCCCTTTGATCAGACAGCATCATGTCTCTCTCTGAATCCTCAAAGCTTCAGAGGGGAGCCGAGTTAGTCTATAGCTGGAAAAACTTAAAAAACAATGAATAGTCTAGCAGAGGGGTTCCCTTTTTGAGCTTACAGACCCCTTTTTAATGTATTAACATTTCACAGACCCTGTGGAGGAAAGGAAAGGATCGGGCCTATTGTAATGAGACTGATACAAACATTTAAAACGTCCCATGGACCACAGGTTGGGAGCCACTGGTCTAGCAGCACCTTAAAGACTCACAAAACATGTAGGCTACGTCTACACTGGCACCTTTTTCCGGAAATGCTTAAAACGGAATACTATTCCGTTTTCAGTTTTTCCAGAAAAGGAGCGTCTACATTGGCAGGCTGCTTCTCCGGAAAAGCCCTTTTTCCGGAAAAGCGTCTGTGGCCAATATAGACGCGCTTTTCCGGAAAAGAGCCCCGAGCGTCATTTTCGCGATCGGGGCTTTTTTCCGGAAAAGATTACTGGGCTGTCTACACTGGCCCTTTTCCGGAACAGTGTTCTGGAATAAGGACTTATGCCCGAGCGGGAGCAGAACAGTTTTTCCGGAATAGCGGCTGATTTTGTACAGTAGATCGTTGTTGCTTTTCCGGAAAAGCAAGTGGCCAGTGTAGACAGCTCGTAGCTTATTCCGGAAAAGCGCCTGCTTTTCCGGAATAAGTGGCCCAGTGTAGACACAGCCGTAGATAGTATCATGAGCTTTTGTGAGCACAGCCCACTTCTTCAGATGAGTGGAGTATTAAAAGTCCAGATCCAAGAATAAATAAGGGAAGGTAGGGAGGGGGGAAGAGAAAAAATAGTGAATTAGATTGTTGAAGTTACAAGAGGCTGGAAAGAATAATTGGCACCTCTCTAAGTACCGATTGGTTGGTTGGTTGGTTAAGTCATCAGGATGTGGAAGGGAGTGTGTTAGCCAGCCAATGTCTTCGTTCGTTCTTCGCTGATAGGAATCAGACTTGTAACTGAAGTCAAGTTCCAACCCTTTCCTGTGTATTTGGCTTGTGGGATTGGCCTGAAACAACATGGGCACTCATTAATGGAGCTCAGCGTCACCATGAAATTCTATTTAAACTTCTTGCTCACACCTGTAAGGCCCTGAACAATTTTGCCCTGGCCTGCAACTTGGATCTTAACTCTTACTGTGTCTTTTGTTGCTCCCTCGTGTCTTTCCACTACCAGTGGCCTCTAAATTATCTTCTCCCACTTTTACTTATTCTACCTAGCCCTATGCGTGGAACCCCACTGTATTCCGCTACACGTTAGCATTAATCTAGCTAGTAGCACTAATCGTAAAGATGTGGTGGCGTAGGTTTTAGTGTGATCTAGCCACCAGGGTACATACCTAGAATCTTAGCTTGTAATTTCTGAGCCAGAAATTTTACTGTTTTGGTATCAACGTGTCAAAAGAATGTTTATGGTACAGGAATTTGCAAAGAATTGGGCTTACATTTGAGAGTGTACAGGGCAATGATTAGGGACCATGCAGTCTGCTGAGTCACTCACAGCAGCATGCAGTAGAAACAGATGCATATAGTTTATCAAAGGAATATGTGATCTACTGTATTCCCATCAGGATAACGAACCACCCTCTCTTATTCCTGAGACACCATAAAGACATATCTTCCTTTCATGAAGATTAAAGGCATGCTCCCACTCAGAAGGCATGTTCCTTTTCATGGCAGAACTTGCATTTATAGTTAATTCTGATATAGCAAAGGTTTCGTTGGCTTGTTTAAGAGCGGGCCTGTGACTTCTTAGTCACCTGCCACGTAAGAGTTCTGGAAGCATCTTGAATGCGCAGTACACCTTGTAGTTATGCTGAAATATCGGCCAGGTTTTTCACATTCATTTCTTATGGACAGAAAAATGCATTACGTTAATATTTGAACTCAGAGGATTTCTCGAGAGATAGTAAGAGCGCTGAGAGAGATGGCAGGTGTTGCTGTAATTCATAATCTTTTTCTTGCTAGAACACTGCCTTGATCCATTTATGTATTTCCCTTTCTTGTAGGAAATTGCTCTCTGCTGACCTCCAACCTTGACAATTCGATTAAGGGTGTAGTAAACAAAATGCTGGACAGTCCTGCGAGACCCCCTTTGTATGTCATGGCTCTTGGTGTCTTAGTGAAATACCCCGATTCAGCACTTGGACAGCTCCATATAGAAAGCACTTTAGATAGGACCCAGCTGTACATCTCTGGGAATGGAGTCCTCTTTCAACATGTCAGGTAGGTGGCCACATTGCATACTGACTGTAGAAGAGCAGCCCTTCCGTCTCTCACTACTTAGTTTTCAGTCTGCCGATGATTGTTCCCACTGGCTAATCTCCTACCATGGGGTTCTGCACAGTCAACTGCGCGAACACAGGACGGTTATTAACAGTAACTGATGTTGTTCAGATATTTTACAGGGTGCTTCAGTTGGTTCACATTGAGCACAAGTTTGACTCATGGCATTTTATGTATTTGATTCAATGAACCTGGCTGAATGATCACAAGAAGAAGTACATAGAATGGCCTGTTACATCAAGAAGGAAATTTGAGCTTATTTTCCTAGGTGTGTTTACACAGCAGGGCTAAAGTTGAATTAAGCTATGCAACTTCAGCTACGTTAATTGCGTAGCTGAAATCGAAACAGCTTAACTTGACTTTTAGTGCTGTCCACACAGCAGGAAGTGGAAGGAAGAACACTCTTCCTCTGACTTCCCTTGCTCCTCATGAAGTGAGGGTTACAGGAGTTGGAGTAAGAAACCCTCCAGCTCACCGTTATTTCGAAATAACAGATTGCAGTGTAGACACGCTCTTTGTTATTTCGGAATGATGTCAATTATTCTGAAATAACGCCGCTGTGTAGCAGTAGCCCTACTGTTAACATTCAGCTGTATTACTACAATGAAATATTATAACCAGGGCTCGACAAATAATGTAATCTACTTGCCCGTAGATTATGTTTAGATTACGACCTGGAAGAGCCGGCACAGAGCGATCTGCGCATGCGCAGAACGGCGCGAAACCGCGCAGCTGGCGAGCGGGGCTCGCTGCTGCTTGGCGAGCCCTGATTATAACTATAATGTAGATGCTAAATTCTGCTTTGTCACAAAGTGATCCTGAATGCCTGTGTTCTGTGCTAGTAGAATATACAGTAAGCCTTCTTAGTTGGTCTTGAATAGTGGCACAGCTTCAGAATGGAAGGGTTGAGTGCTGAGAACAATATTCATCCTTCAGTACGCATACTGTGCACCTCTAACCAATAGAGATTTTTCACAGTGAACAGTGTAATTATGCCAGTTGGAATTTAGCTGTTATTGAAAATCGTAAACCTGCTATTGTAAAAAGTGAGGTTGAAATCAAGGAGATTGTTCTCCTAAGCCAGTTAGGTGCTTTGGAAAAGCATTCCCTACCTCTTCAAAATCACGGCTCAGACTTTGCACCATGCTAGGGCATTGATTTGGGGTGGATGCCAAGGGGGAAGCATCGCTTACCATTTCAGTATTGCTACTTCCTGCAGTACATGAAGTTTCCGTGGCAGATATTTGACTAGGCCTGACTCAGATACTTCAAAGTTCCACATCAGCTGATGGTGGCAAAAGCCATCGTCAGACGCTAGGGCAGACATCATTACACTAGACATGGGGAATGGCTCCCTTAGAAGAACCAATAGGGCACTGAAATGCCTTCCAAAAAGTAGATCAGAAACTCAAGAGCTTTGAAGCAGGTTTAGCTGTCTCTAATCATTGCAATCATTGGCAGATCTTGGCAGATGGAAGGCCTGTATTGTTTACATTTTTCAGGTGGCACATAGTCTGCTAGGGCCTAGTACTGCAGCCCTGTTCAAAGCCTGGTATGGAGCACTAATCTGAAGGTTCTAGCTAATGAACGTTCTTTGTCAAAGCTGGAAGAAATACAAAAGTGTTCAATGAAAACAATCCAGTGAGCACTCACGTATCAATCACTGGAAAAGTTTTCCACCAAGCGTTCTTAACTATAGCCTGGCCTGTAGCCATTAAAATAAACCATGTGAAATAGCTGGACTAATAAAATAGATAAAGATCTAGTGACCTTTCGCTGTTAACTCTGGATGGACAGGAACTGGCTGGGAACTTGCCGCCTCCCGCTTACTGAAAATACATCTGAAATCCAAGACCTCTGCGCTTACTTGGACAAAAGGGACATCACATATGAACCAATGAAAGATGCTTTGAAATCATATCTGAAACAAAAGATACCTGCGGAGATGAAGGGGCACAGTAAGTAAAGGGTTTTCACTAAGTGGTTGTATTGTGTTTAAATACGATGAGCGGCTGTTGGCTGATTAAGAATGAAGACTCAATAATCCAGTGCTAGTGATGAGAAAAAGGTAGGTTTCAAATTAATCAAAAAACAGATTTACATAAAATCTAGTGTCAGCCAATAGTTATTAAGAAGTAGCAACTGTTACCAACCAGTTGTATCATCATGCAGCAAAAATCTGTAAAAGAAATTAATAGTAACTGAACGACAGCAGCGTTTATTTCCAAAGAGGCATTCATATTTATGTTTAGAATAGAACTGCTTGCTTGAAAATGTCACCTCTCCTGCCCAAAAAGAGACAGAATTAGTAAAAGCCCTGCACAACATACGGCGTATTTCCAGGAAGATCTGCCAATCAGTCTTACATTTCAGAAAGTCTCTGTGAATTGAGTTGCTACAAGACATTTTTCTGGTTAGGTTGGTACAGTAAAACTCCATTAGTCCGGCATCCAATGCTCCCGGACTCCTGATGGTCCGGCACCATCAGGAACCCGGAAGTTCTGGGGCAGCCGGACAGGCTTCCCCCATTCAGCTGCTGCTGAAACTGACCAGCAGCTGAATTGGGGAAGCTGGGAGCAGAGCAGCTGGGGTGCTGCCGGGTTGGTCCTGCAGCGCCGAGGGGCGGCGCTACGGGACCAACCTGGCAGCACCCCAGCTGCTCTTGGGGACGCGTTGGCGCTGCAGGGCCAACCCCGCAGCACCCCAGCTGTTCTGCCCCAGGCCTCCGGATTCAGCCTGCTGGTGAAACTGGCGCTGCGGGACCAACCCGGCAGCACTCCAGCTGCTCTGTCCCAGGCGTCCCCAAGAGCAGGCGGG